AGGGATATCTACCCCTTGGAGCACATGGACATATTGTGCTTTAAAGATGTGGAGTTACAGTAGGTTTTTTTATTTATCCTATCCAGCTTTTGTTAATTACAAAAAAAAATCTAATGAATTCGTTGAAGGCGTTCGAAGGTTATTACTTAAATGGATTGACAACATGATAGAAATATCTCCACCAAAGTTCAAAAAGTTGTTTCAGAATACTCAGAATAAAAGAGGGCTAGACAGAAAAGATTGAAATAATCGCACCCAGGTTTAAAATGATGTCCTTGGTTTGCACAGATTTGTCACCCTGCCTTTGTTTGGAGAAAGTGAAGATGCAAATGGTCCAGTCTGAGGATATGAGATAGACTTCTGCTTTTTGTAAACAGCACACAACCTGCGTCACGACACAAATAACGCAGACGCTGAAAGAGAGTAGATGACTGAGATCGGTCTGAGAAGTCAAACATAAACAGAAATGGGTTTTTTTGGCAGCTGACACATGCAACAATAATGGCTTCTTCATTTTGCAGAAGTGACTGCTCTGTGTAATTACGCAATAGCTCAATTTATAGTAAATAACGGAAGGCTGTCATTAGGGTTAGGGTTTAAATATGAAGTCATGTAAAAAAAAAAAAAACACCTGACAGCAGGACTGTGTGTCTCCCATGCAGAATTTGGGGACATTAAAACACTGAAAAGTTCAAGTAATAAACAGTTATTTGTGAAGATTTAATTCCACTAAAATGGCTAAAACTAGGCATTTTTTTTATATCAAGGAAAGGTTAAGGACAATTTGAGGTTTTCCCTCTCTAAGCCTAATTGAAGAAAGTGTCTTTCTTTTAAATAAAAACGTCTCCACCCGGAGGACATTCAAAACATCGTCTAACAGCTAGGGTCTGGTTATCCAAGCAAATTTATCCCAGAAGCAAACTGTAAGATGTTAAAAAATGGCTTCAAAAACTACAAATGATCACTGTGGGACTTTTAGCAGAACTTTGATGCTTTGGTAAAGCTTTGAGGACAACATTAAAACAACAACAAACTAAAGTCACCAATTGAGACTGCAGAAGTAGGGCATGACTTCTGGAATTATTAGAGCTGAATTATGGGACATTAAAACATTGTTTAGGATATATGACAAATATAACATACAAGAAAAGGATGTTCATTGCAGTGATAAAGCACAGAGATGGAAGTGTAGTTGTTAGGAGATGGATCGGATAATCCACCAGGAATCCTACAGTATGTATATCTACATGAATGGAAACTTGGCTATTGTTGTGTTTCAGAATGGAAGTAAAGTTGCTTCTTATTTAAGCTTGTTTTGTGGTCAAATTTTTGGTAATGTTATTGTTTAAAACAAGAGGAAATTACATATAGTAACTGATGTTGTTTCCCAGGTCTTTTCGAGACATAAATGCAACTCCAATATATGTCTTATAATAAATCAAATAAAAAAAAAAACAGGTTTGATTCACTTTTCATTAGAAATCTAATAGTTAAATGAAATTCAAATAAAGAAAAGAACATTATCTGCAGAAAGGGATAAGTGTCATAACAAGAAGGTTCAGACTTGTGCCGGGATGAAAATGGTTAATATTATGAAATGTCTGACCCAGGGAGATTTCTGTCTAATTTTGATGTACCAAAGGAACCAGGGAGCTCATTCAGATATGATGTTTCTGTGATCAGTCACGCTCAGATTTTTGGAAAATCATGCAAGTTACTTAGGAGTTTTCTAATAATAATCTGGGCATGTCAGATACAATTAAAAACAAATAATGATTTTCTCTGCATGAACACCTTGTGTTATTACCTTATGGGTTTTATGTGCAGCCATTCAAACTGTTGTCTCAACATAAAGGTTATACAAACAAAACACCAACTATGGTTTCAATAATTATATGAAGAAATTATAATAATCTTTGTAAATGTCTAAGTTAACATTCTGCCCAAATAAAGGATTAAATTCCATGAAATCAGACCCTGATTTTTTTGTTTTGTTAAAGTAATATTCGACAGTTACGAGAGTCTACGCTGATGTCTCAGCAGAGTCTAAGGAGACAGAAACAAAATAGACCATAACACGACTCCACGCAGGTTCTGTCAAGTAAGTTTTCTAATCTCTGGCATTAAGTAATGGCTTCTTGATTTTACAGCTATCATGTCAAGGTTTCTTCCTAGTATCTATATTTCCAGTAGCTTTACTAACATTAAATTAATACCAGATATGGGTAACAACTCAAGCAACTCCACACATTAAGAAATCAAAACAATTTCGTATGTAAAAAGTTCTGTGTAATAAAGTGGAATGAGGCAGAATAAGGAAACCTAAGCAAAAGCATCACGCAAAGAAAGAAAGGAAATAATTTGTTTTCAGAAACCATATTTCCACCATATTAAGGGCCGTCCCAAACCACATGGTGAGCAAGGCGAGTGAGAGTCTGCATCAGTGCAGACTCGTTGGAATTTGAAATTTTCTAATGGCGGAGGAAACACCTAAACTCTAAATCTAAGTTCCGCAGGTTTGTTGCATCTTTGTCACATTGACAGGAAATCACAAGTTAGGACAAAGAAGAAAGGTTTCATTAATTCCAAAAGGGAATGTCCTCTTTGAGAGTTTTATTTGGCAAATTTGTTTTATGTTGTTTTTGTTAAAGCTCTCAATTTACCGGTCGGTCTAGGTTCCTACCCTCACCTATGGTCATGAAATCTGGATAATGACCGAAAGAACGAGATCCCGGATACAAGCGGCTAAAATGAGCTTTCTCCGCAGGGTGACTGGGCTCTCCCTTAGAGATAGGGTGAGGAGCTCAGTCATTCAGGAGAGGCTCAGTGTAGAGCCGGTTCTCCTCCACATCGAGAGGAGTCAGTTGAGGTAGCTCGGACATCTTCTTCGGATGCCCCCTGGACGCCTCCCTCGGGAGGTGTTCCAGGCACGTCCCACTGGGAGGAGGCCCAGGGGACGACCCAGGACACGCTGGAGAGACTATGTCTCTCGGCTGGCCTGGGAGCCCCTAGGGCTTCCCCTAACAAAGCTGGAGGAAGTGTCAGCGGAGAGGGAAGTCTGGGAGTCTCTGCTTAGTCTGCTGCCCCCACGACCCGTTTCCGGATAAAGCGGGAGACGACGAGTTACATTTGTTTTAAGAAATGGGCAAATGCTGGATTTCATGTAAACATGTGCCACAGCCACACATGGGGTGTCCATGTGTTGCTATAGCAACGACTGCTTTCCTTTTCCAGTGGAGGGATAAGGCCATCCCATTCTCGTTTATGGAGTAGTGCATAAGGGGTGGTTTGGGATTGGGCCATAGACTTTATCCAGATGTGCTCCCTAACACCTCTATCACTACATGGAGCCGGGACTATATAGTGGACTTTATAGTGCACAAAGTTAACTGACCATTTGGACAGATGATCACTACCTTTCGCTCCCCATTGGTCACGTACTCTTGCTCCTCGCATCCTCGCATGGTACTTGCACCATCTTGGTTCTTTGTCGCCCCAATAACATTGCATAAAATTTGGAGTCCACTGCTTTTTTCTCGATTAAATGTTCGGACACTCATATAAAATGCCATAACTCCTATATGGTGCTCTATAGAGGGTCCCTGGACCGGGCCTCATCCTGGTGCCTGAAACCCTTGTAAAGAGAAGAGTCCAGAGAACATTCAGAAGAGGTGTCAGAACACTGCACTGATGAAGACGGAGCATGTTAAAGGACATTTTAAGTTTGAGCAATCCAATGAAATATTTAAAATAAAGTAGTTTGGTCTTATGAGGAGAACATTTGACCACAATAGCTTCAAGATTTGAAGATATACTGGAAGAATGGACAAAAATCACATGCTAGCAAGGCAAGCCACTTGTTTCTAGATACAGGAAATAAAGTTTTAATCTAAAAAAAGGCTAATCTATTAAGCATTGAACACATTAAAAATAAACCATTCAATACTTATTCACTGTCATTCCACTTTATCACACAAAAACTGATTACATGGACTTTGTCTCAATCCTCTGTGTTGATTACTTGATTGTGATTCTTTTTAACCAATATACTAGAAAGAAATATTAACTGAGAAAAATGCTGTTATTCTATAACAATATCCATTGTATTTTTTGTATAATTTATGTTTATAATATCTATAACTCAGCTGAGAGAACTGTGTCTTTCATGCTAACTTTGTGCATCTAATACTTAATTTTCTGGTTCTGACTGTTACCTTCTATTTTAAGAGAAACACAACAATAATTATTTATTTTATAAGTCATTTCTATAAAGAATTTAATATCTGTGCAATAAAGATATCTTCCTGCCTCTGACTTGCATCAGAGATGGTGCATTGTAAATTGGAGCGGCATTAATTAGACAGCCTTGTGTATAAAGGTGTGTGCATCATCTTGATAGGCATCAGTACTTCATCTGACAAATTCAAAATATGGTAGAAAGCAAGTTTATCTGCTGTGAGTAGCACTGGCAGTTTCTAAGATATTTTTTTCTCTCTTCTTCTTTTCGCTGATCCCAGTGTGATCCTTTCACTGGGCTTTTCCTCCCTCTAAATTGGTGATAAGCACTGATGTCTCTTGGCAGTGGGTGTGGGGGCCCTCATTGCTTCGATGGATGCTGTTGTGCTCCATGGTGTCTCTCCATATCTGCTCACACTCGTCTTCTCCTTCTTACTTGTCTCTATCTTCTCCTTCCTCGCTCCACTTTCCCTTTAATTAGAATTGAGCTGTCAACACAAAGCCTCTCCAAGTGAGTTTACTTTACCACCAACTATTTATCCTCATGCTCAGATGCAGTTATATTTTTTCCCCCCATCTTTTTAACTGGTCATGCTACATCATAAGCACTTGGGTTTTTTTTTCTAAAGGTAGCTCATTTGAACTCTGCAAACTTTCAACATCTTAAGCTTCTAAGTAATCTCTGTCCATCCTGTCGATTCACATAAACATCCTGCCTTCTCTCCTGTCTCCACTGAGTTTGTGAACTATGTGGCCTGTTTCTGCTTTCTCCGACAACCTTGTTCTCCGTTTACCCTCCTTCCTCCCTCCCCCTCTTGCAAGGCCTGTCAGTGTCTCATGGTGTTTTTGCCAAACTTGTCGCCGAGTTGCTGAATGAGCAGAGCCAGCTCCCCAGCGGCCTCAGACTTCTCCTCCAGCAGCTCATAGCGGAGGCTAGAAATGTCTTGCTTGATCTCCTTCAGCTCTCCTGCGATACAGAGAAGGGAAAAATAAAGAGGAAGTGATCAAACAGGAATTAGGACATGTGAAAGCGGAACACATCCAGGCATGACTGCAGGTCAGAGTGCAAAGTTTAAATGTCCATGACCCTTTGAGGTTTTAACATTTTGTTTGACTTTTTCTCATCAATTCAGTGAAATTATTTTGTATGATAAAGTACAAGAGGTGAGAATTTGAAAATTTTAGGAAAGAAAATGATTAATTCTAAAAGATTTAATCCCCTAAACGAAAAAAAAAAAGTTATTCCTGTTTTAAGAAATATTTATTTCCATCAAATCACTGCTGATCATCCCTGCTGATAAAACAACTTTTGCCAACACAACGGTGCCTAATCTCATCCTCCATCCTTCTGAATGTCAGTGCAATGCCTCTTTCACATCTGGGGCTGTACTCACTGAGCAAGTGGAGAAATTGATAAGTAATCCTGAAACCAGTCCTGCATTTCTTGTGCAGATAAGGTTCAGCTTGTTGTTTCACTGAACTGTCAGCCTTCACCTCATCCTGAAATTGGGAACTCTCCTGAGAAGCTTTTCTCTCTGTAATTTGAAATCTATTCTTCTTACATCAGTCTTCATTCCCGCCTTGACAAAACTGCAAACTATTGGAGAAAAACGTCTTTGAAGAAGGTTTTTCGCCACCACCAAGTTTCAAAGAGGAATTGTAGATTTGCAATTATCCATCACCGTGGAAAAGGTAACGAGCTGCTATATGATAAATCCAAGTTCTTAACTTTTACTGTATCAGCATCTGTATTTTTCTCTCTATCCTTTCTACTAGAAATTCTTCTCTCATAAAGAACCGGTGATTAGTTTCTTTATAAGATTATTATATAACTAAATATAACAGATGAACAACTAGTTTTTCATTATATCTGTGCATTAAGATCTCACAAGTCTGTGGTTACATTCAGACTACCTCCCCATATTATAATTAAGAAGAGCTGTAGTAGTAAAGGCCTTTGTTAAATGTGAGCTCAAATAATGAGGATTTATTAGTTTCTCTGCAAAGGGAAAAGAGGGAGAAGATATCACCACTAAAATCCAGTACATTGGAAACTTAATAGGTAGGAAGATGATCTGTTCAAACCCGCTGGGAGACAAATCTGGTGGAGGAGACGTCTGCGTAAATTAGGGGTTTTTAATAGTAGAGGACAGCAATGAAACATTGCAGATAATCTCAATGGTGAAATCAATTGCAGTTAGGACACATTTTCTTCACTACTCCATCCTATTTTGTCATTACAGAGGAACCATTCAAGGTCCAAGCAACTGACCATGTTAATTTTCCTCAAACAAAGGGTGTATACTCCAAAAATATTGATTCAAAGCTTTCTATGCAATTCGAGATTGCGCATATAATCATTGTGCAGACAACAGCATAACATGCAACAAAGCTAAAGTAGAAAAAAAAAATTTGCTTTGTTTTGGGTTAATTTCTGTTGCGTTCATGAGCCCCGATTCAGGTTATACTTTGATTCCCTGTGGATACAGACTGCTTTTGATCAATACCTGGTTTGAGAGGCTCCCATTGTGTCAAAGAGGTGTATTTAAAATGTCATGAAAACGAGGGAAGATGGAACATTTAATACATTATCTTACTGCTATGTTAGAGTTTATGTTTATCCAACCTAGGTTGTGTTTAGAAGAAAATAAAAGAGGTATTGATAATTACAACATTAATCCACCCTGGGCTGGAAATATTAAACAAAATGAGACAACTGCTTAAAATGAATTTTTAAGCTCACCCACTTGTGTTAAAGTTATTAGTTTAGCACTTTAATAAGCATTTTATTGCTTGCAGACTATTCCAGAGAAAACAAACAAACAAACAAACAAACAAAAAAAAACAATCCCAAGTATGTGGAGATGTATATTGAAACTCAGTCAGGAATTCCTGTACACACATCTAGAGATATGCTGTACTGCAGCATTATGACTCCATAATGATCCAATTGGAGTGAACAGTATTGAAAAAGCGATTCTTACCCTCGTTCACTTCATCGCTTTCTTTGTCCACTTGAGCTTTCAGCACATAACGTTTAATGAGCCGCTTCATGATATTCTGCAAGGAGGAAAGGAAAATGTGAATCTTACAGACAAAGGACACAGCGGGGTGAGGTGAAAATGCTCACTGTATTACTCAAGAGGGAAAACCTGTCTTGTTGTTGAGAAGGCCACAAAACCATCCTAATTGTGGTGCAGAACTACACTTGGTCTCTGAGACGGTATGTCAAACATTGCATATAGATTTGTGACCAGTTGCTGCTGCTGAGCCTGGGATTTTCAGCCTGTAAATGTGAGCATTCTGGAGATGTGTCGATAGATGTCACCTTACAACCAGTGCGCTTATATGTATAATCAAGTGACAACTGCCTCATCTGTGTGATTAGCTGTGAGTATCTGTTGTCGTTAAAATATACGAAATGGGATATTTTAGAAAAAAAAGTCCACTAAACCTGAGAGGATTTCCCTAATGGGAAAGATAAAGGGGAGAGTAAAGACGAGAGTTCTGACTCCTACTTAGCAAAATAATATAGTTTAAGCCCATGTACAGAGTGTCTTGACCTCAATTACTCTTCAAGATCTTATTAAAGGAAATTTCAGCCGTACTCTTTTTTTTTTTCCCTCTCTATATCTTTGTACCACTTCTCTTTGGTCGATGCCCTTCATTTCAAACTTGTTAAAATCCTTAGTCAATGTCATTTATACTGTATCATTCTCCTGCTTTCACCTCCTAACCTCCGCACCTCCTTCTCTTCCCTTCCTCCCTTTCATCCTGCCTTTATCGTTAACATAATTCAATCTCTGCATTTTCTCTCTGCTACGTTCCTCAACCTGTTTGTCTCATACTTCATTCTTCCTCTAGACTGCATCTAATTTCCAATTCTCTTCCCTCTCATCTTGACTCCCCCCTACACTTTGTCTTCTGCTTCCAATTCTGTCAGAATTCTGTCAGACTCTTACCTGATATCTGGTTGGGTGTTTCCGAGCTTTTCTCTGTATAAACTCCTCGCCTGGCCGTGCATAAGACCTAAACCTTTCATCCTGCAATGGCAAGAATGAGAGACACTTGAGTAAGTTGGAAGTGTTTGTGAAGGATGAGAAAGGAGGCGGAAAAAGCTTTAAAAAAAACTTATCACAGAATTCAGTATTTAAATGGCTGGAAAAAAAACAAACAAACAAACAAACAAAAAAAAAACAGCAGACCTACTTTGTCTGAATCCAACATATCTATCAACTGACTCTGAGATGCCTTCACTGAATTTAACTGACTTGCGTTGGCTTCAGACTGCAGCAGTTTAACATTATGTGAGCGTTATTCCGTAGGAGATCTGATATGATAGATGGTTGCAGCAGTATGTATAAAGATAAATAAACTAATTAACCACCTGACTCCAATAAATATTTATTTCAGCTCGATTATAATCATGTCTGGAGTTTTAAGGACGCATCTGAGTGATTATTTTGGGGGGAATGTCTGATAATACGACATATCTTGGTGAACACTCTAATTTATTTACGATTTTTCTCTAATCCACACAGCATGTAAATGATACATTTATCCCCTTTTATTATTTGTGGATTGTCCTGACTCTTATCACATTGCACAGAAACCAAACACTTGTAGTCATAAACAAGCTCCTGCTATTTCCAACTGATTTTTTTCTTTTTTTTTATTACCTCTCCTCTTCGCAGAACTGAATGAGCGCATTTTAATTGGTCTATTTCTTAGGAACAGACCTTTTAAGCAGAGCAAAGTCCATAAATGTTTAACAGAGTTGAGGTTGGGCACTTTAGGAAGGTTAATGTTTGCCTACTATCACTTTCAAAACTGGTTTTAATATGTGTTTAGGATCATTTTCACATTGGTAAACCTATGTGTCCAATGATCTAAAACTATGACTGTTGAACTGACAACTGGAAGATTTTGACCTAATCCTCATTCTTCATTAACCTCCCTCTGCACCATTGTTTGGGATTAGAGGCTTTCATCCTGCTCCTAATTTCTCTTTATATTTACAGTAATCAGGTGTTCTTTTAATATTTGTAGGTTTTCATTGCCTGTCACAAACCTTAACTGTTTCTATATGCCTTCGGAAAACCCTGCCAATATCCTTGAGTTACCACCTGTGTGATCTCAGTGCTCTATGCTCTCCAGCCAGAACTCACCCCTACATGAGCTCACACTCATGAAAAGATCTGCTGAATAACTTATCTGCATCTGCCTTCTGTTTTACTTGTCAAAAAACCAAGTGAGAGAGAGTAAGCTCTATACTCACCTGTCATACATACAGTACCTGCCCACCCTCAGCCTGCCATGCCACTCACCTTACCTCCAAGCCACAAAAGGAACAATGACAACTCTACCTACCACCCACTCTATGGTATTGTCTTAGCAGCAATCCCAGAATCTCCTGTCAACTCCCCAAAGCCATGGCTTCATCAAAAGAACAAGATAGATAAATTTAGAGAATGTCTTGCTTAAGTTATTTTCTGTTATTATGTAAAAACAGGAAGCTAGTTAAACTTTAATATTTGCCATCTTGTGGTTTCTACTTTTACAATTTAAAGCATCATCCCGACTCATTCAAAAATACTGTTTGTCCGTTTGCCCAGAAAGTCCTCTCACTGTCTTATATAACCATTAAAAATTGGATTTTGGCCTTTAAGTTGTGCTTGAAGCTGCAGATTTTGAAAAAAGAATATCTAACTTGGCCCACCCCCCTCTATGCTGATGTTAAACTATTTACTACAGGGAGTAAAACTAAAGTGGCATCCTAGCTATCCTTGCATTCTATTGCTTCTATTCAATAATCTGCCAAAATCCACCTGACATTGTTCAAATGTCTTCCCTGTAGTTTTCAATTCTATAACAAAAACTTTATTCACTGGGCTCTATGTTTAACTGAGATATATGTCATCCAGTCTAACAGTTACCAGCCATACTATAAGGAAAATAAAAAAACACTCAGAGCGCAGACCTCCACCAAGCAGCAAAGTTTTCCCCAAATTGTGAGGCACCCCGCTGGTAAAAAAAAAAAAATTCCATAAACTCCTTTCATAAGTTTTCAATCGATCCTGCAAAAATAATGATCCCTTTGCTTGTGTTTTTGTCTTCAGAAAAATATCTTCAGAACTTTTTTGTCTGATTCTGAGGCTGTCAATAGCCACTGCCGCCACCCTCTGGTTTAGTGGGGAACTGCTCTTTCTGCCAAATAACCCTACCTTACAATGTTAGAGAATCCTTAAAAGAAATTCCCGTAGCCAGATTATGATCTGGATCATCCCCAACACGTAATGGATTTCTAATTGGCATGAGGGACAGCTATGATAAAAATTTTATTAACATCCGTCAGTAACTTTTCCATGTCATGCTGTACACAGATAGACAGACAGGCAGACAGACACACACACACACAAACTGTCCTAAAAACATAACCACATTGGCGGAGGAAAAAAAAAAATCAAACATTTAGAAAGACCACACTGTTATTTCTAAATCTCACCCGACATCCTCAACACTTTCCTGTCGGCTAATGTGGGCTTATCTATTGATCGCCTGCTGCACCCTTTTGCTTCTGCCTCAGTTAAACTGTCAGCTCTGCAGAAATTTTTTGACACTCACAGAGGCAGCAGGGTGAAACCTATCTTGTCCCAATCCTAAACCTGCCTGGGCATTGCAGCAGATGCAGGGAAAAGCAATGGGCTGACTAATAGCTCTGGTGCGGAGAGCTATTCCAGCCAAGGGGTTCAGCAGAGCAAATGCATGTGAATGATGACAATCTCTATGTTTTAATTAAACATTAAATATTATTTTCTTTTCATCATAAAAAAAATAATAAAAAAAATTCTGTTAAATTTAACTTTATTGATCTAACATTGGAGAAATTTAGCTCTGCATTTCACCCATCCACTTGGGGAGCAGTGGGCTGCCATTGTGTGGCACCTGGGGAGTAGTGTGGGGTTAAGGGTCTTGCTCAGGGACCCAGAATGGAGGCTGTGAGGTTTGAACTTGGTACTTGCAACCTTCTCAGAGCACAAGTGCACTGTTCAAACCCACTAGGTTGACACTCCCCAAAGAGATCTGATTTAAAGTTTTGGTCGACTTAGATCTTTTTAAATCTTTTCAAAATTTTTGTCGTGAAGCCATGATCACACTGAAAACCTCTAAACAGACAAACAACATATCTCAGAGAGAAACTGCTCTAACTACTATTCTATAATTAGAGTCGCTGCAGTAGTTTGGTTTAGAGGGAATAAAATAACAGATTAAAATGTTTTTTTTTTAGATTATATAAAATGAGGTGGTACAATAATGATAAAAATTAAATAAAAAAATGACGGTAACAAATCTGTTTTTAAGACTTTTTAATAGACTCTGTAATAGACCAACAGAGAGTCGAGTATGCAGAACATTGAAACTATCCATCCATCCATTTTCCATCACGCTTATCCCAAGTGGGGTTGCAAGGGGTGCTGGTGCGTTTCTCCAGCTGTCTACGGGCGAGGTCCCTGGACAGGTCACCAGTCCATCAAAGGGCAACACAGAAACAAACAACCATTCACGCACACATTCACACCTAAGGAGAATTTAAAGAAGCCAATTAACCAAACAGCCATGTTTTTGGACTGTGGGAGGAAGCCAGAGTACCAGGAAGAACCCACCAATGCTCGGGGAGAACATGCAAACTCTATGCAGAAAGACCCCGGACCAGGAATCGAACCCAGAACCTTCTTGCTGCAAGGCAGCAGTGCCACACACTGTGCCATTGTTCAGTACCATAAATTGTAACTAGAAGCTTTTAAAATATAAAGCTATACCTCAAAAGATATATATGGTTCATAAAATGAAAAATACAAATCTGGAAAATGTGGCCTGCATTTTTCTAATATAGTTTACTTTATTTTTTTTATAAAACTAAATATATATGGCAACTAACTACTGTCAGAAGTCATCAGTCAATGTGTGAAAGTAAAGATCTGGGAAAATGAGACCAGAAGTTTTTTTTTTTTTTCCAGTCTATAAACAAACAACATGCCAAGAGTGGAGAATAATAAAATGTCCTATCACTCTAAAGACATCATCCACTTGATAAAACCTGACTGTGGCAGCATCATGCTAGAGTGGCCAGTTTTGTTCTATAGGGTAGTGAAAATGATCAGAGTGTGATTGAATGATGGGCAGAAATAAATTCAGAGGGATCCTGGAACCACAAGTGTTACACCTCGCCTTAAAGCAGAACAGTGACACCAAGCATACTGCCATTTCTACAGTGAATTGGTGTGAAAGAAAGCACACTAAGCAGTCAAAGTTCAGAGCTGAATCCTAATAAAAATTCACAGAAGCTCTGCGTCCATTCTGATGGCAATAGATTTATGTTGCAGAGAACAGGGACATATTTCACTCTAAGAAAAGCTGCTACACACAAAGTATTGCAGCTGTAGCCTGATCTAAGTTTTCTAATCCAGACCATAGTCTGTTTTTATAGGTAGATAGCAGTACCGGTAAATAAAAAACTAATTAAAAACATTTTGTGAAATGAAATAATGCATAAAAAAATTATCTATATTGCCTATCTACTTAAAAATTATACCAAATCTTTTAAAGGTTCATCATGTGGACATCCAGTAAAAGACATTAAAGTTTGTTTGGTATAACTTGACAAAATATAAAAAGTTCAACAGGTAGACCATATACACTTTAGCAAGTAATTAGGATATGAATAATGAACAATTGACCTTGGCCTGTGAATGAACCATTCCCATCTCCACCTCATTGCTATGGTGCCTGCCATTGGCCTTACACAGGCGTATCAGGCATGATTTGATGCGAAGGACCAGGTAGTAGAAGGATTTAGGGCTGGGAACCAGGTTAAATGGGGCAGGTAGAGTTCGACCCTCATCGAAGTAGGACAGCCACAGCTTGGCACGGGCAAACTTCCACTCCACGTCTGAATCCTCCTGCAGGGAAAAACAAACAGAAATGCAGGTTGAGTCTGCTGATGGATGATAACAGGAAAGACCGGAACTAATGAATAGCTATTAATTCCAGAGTACAATACCATAACGGTAGACAGTCACATCTGCTGGTTGACAACCTTTCTACAGACTTTATTTCTTTTTTAGTAAAACTTCTCTTTGAAGTGTTTAACAATGTCTGATGTTGCCTGATTGATTTTCATTAGCTGATGACATTTTTTAAGTCAACCCTAATCCTCTTGTAGAAACATCACTGATACAAGATTATCCTTATTGACTTGTTGACAACATCCTGCCCTTGTTTCTATTGATTGGCTTCATACCTCTATCTCCTGGTACGAGCTGTTTATCATGGCAATGAGCATGTTGAGGAGAACCACCACCATGGTGACATTATAGACGCCATAGAGCACGTAGCCGATGTTCTCTATAAACTTATGGTCGTATTTCAGGACCACAGAGATCACTTCAGAAAGCCCGAATATGGACCAGAAAAGAGTCTTGAAGCTCTCCTCCACCCTAAGGGAAAAGAAATAGAGTGACATCATTACAAAACAGTGGCTACAGGTGTAGGAAAACACTGTGTAGTGCTAACAGTTGAGTCACACGCATGAAAGCAGACAATATGTGATCTAATGCTGCTTGATTTGTGAGGCAGGAGTGATGAGTCATGTCCAATTTGAACACATAATCCCATATCTGCACCTACTCCACATTTAACAAACATTGTGCTGCAGAAGCACACATGAAGAAGCCGACACGACATAGCTTCAGCATTCAAGAAATAATTTGCTTAAATGGCTAGGCTAATTAAGTTTTAACCCTTCGTCATTTTCACTCAAAGCAGACACCTGAAGTTTATGGAGACACATTAAAAGTTTGTCTGAAGTATATTTAGTGTTAACAGTACAGGTTAGAAGTTTATATACATTATAGGCAAGACTTATTTTGATTTGGGGCTTCTAGTGGTTTATTTTAACTGTTAAAACTGGGTGAAATAATCATTTAAAACTAGGGCTGGGTATTTTCGCCAAAGTCCTGAATCGATTCGATTTTGATTTATATAGTTCTAAATCAATTAATTGCGATTCAATCTGCTTTTACAATAATGAAAGTTGTTCAACTGTGTTTCAAAATACTCATGTATTTTATTTTTTCTTGTCATATTAAAAACAAAATGCAAACTTGTAAATCAGACAGTTTAAACTTGAGATGTAAAAAAAACTGTCTCAAAAGTGGAAACTTGTTTGTGAAAAGTGAAAAAGTGAAGCCTCACTCGAGTAAGCAGACGTGACACATCAGACATGCATGAGCCGCATTACCTTCACTGCACAAACCATATTTGCAGCGTTGTATGTATCAACTACAGGGTGTTTGCTGGTCAGCCCCCATTTGTTAATGTCTTCAGTCAACCTATTGGCTATATTCGCAGCTGTCTGGCTTGAAGAAATCTTGAGTGCATCTTTCCTGCTCATTTGGATGTGAACATCACGCGCTTCACTATAAAATTAATCAATCTCATTCCCTAGACATCGATTTTGCAAAAATGCAAAGGAATCGATCCAAAATCGATTAAATCGATTTTATCCACCCAGCCCTATTTACAACCATAAAGAATTTTAATAAAAGTATTTGGATCCACATCCACTTATCCCCATTCTAAACATATTTAAAATTATACACACAGGCTTAAGTAACCCAAGTCTCACCAGCGGTGGAGTGGCCATCGGGGGCCCTGGGACAAGTCCTGGTGGCCTGGCTACTGGCCTTGCCCTCTCAGTGGTTTCAGATTACATGAGACCAATGGTTGTCTCATGTTATTTTCAAAATAAACAAACAATGCCATTTATGGATTTTTACTCAGCCATCTGGCTTGCTGAGGCCTCAACACAGTGAGTAGTAGTGATCAGGAAAAAGTATGTACAACCCTTCTTTAGACAATCAAAAGGAAAGGAGGAGGGGAAAGGGAGAGTATAAAAATGAAAAAGATCTGTCTGTGAAGAGTTTCAAAATGATGTTGGGGAGCAGGTAGGACATAAACTCTAGTGTTAAAAAGTGAAAATTTTGTATAAAATGTTCAGCACAACTAGCTTAATAAGGTTAATGCCACTTAATGGACTTAAGGAGGCCCAGACTGTTTTCATTAAATAAATGCTTTAAGATTCTAGAAAGTTAAATGCAAACTTTAGTATTAGGGTCAAAGAACAAGGTCTGGAGAAAAAAAAAACATGTGTTTAACAATCAAAATCTAGGAATTCAGCCTTTGTGTGCAATTAATAATCTCCACTAAAAATATTATATATGATAAAATCATTCCAAAAAGTTAATAAACAATCCACTGGACTTAGTTTCTAAGTTTTTAGACATTTTGCTTCCCATCCAGGGAGCTTTTTAAATTCAAAAAGGCAGAATTAGCGTTGAGTTTGAGGCTTTATAGAGTGAACCAAAACAAGGACATGCAAATTACAGTAAACCAGAAGAACGAGTCTGCCCCTTAGAAATGGGGAGTCATTGGGTTCTTTGTTAGCCTGCAATACCTGATACTGATATATGCCTCTGACTGGGGGGGTCATTGGGGGGAATTGTTGGTCTGGCTGAACAGGCGAGATGTTCTGGTCCCCTGTAAGGCGATGGGGGTTGCAATGATAGTGGGAAGGAATCAACTCTATTGCGTCATTGTAGGTTTTTGAAAGTTGAAACATGAGTCCACCCCCTCTGTTTAAGATTGGTTTTTCCTGCTTAACATAAATTGGTTCCTTCACACCACTTTTAAACCACCTTTCTTCTTTTTCTTAATTTCTTTATTTTTTGGAATGACTATGACCTGGATTACAGAGAATATTCACCAGCAGATCTTTAAATTCATAAAAAAAAATTTTTTTATTCGACCTAAAATCCCGATAAAATTAAGAACATGTTTGTTATGATATGAACATTGCCAGGGCATATAAATAGCTGGTGCATTTTAATTGATAGGAAAATTTGTGTTGCTTTTGGATTTCTTTTTTTACAAAGGTGCGAAGAAAGCTGTGTCAGTATGGCGAGTAGGACTAGAGCTGCAAGGGCTCCTGCTGTTAGGAGGGAGGTGGATAGCAGCAGTAAGACAGAGCAGGAACCTTCAGGTAGAATTTTAAAGCACCAGACACGTATCTGAATGTGATATTTTTCACAATAGTCCTAAGTAAGGTATGTAGGGAATAAGAGGAAACATCACAGGAAATTTGGCAAACTTTGCAACAAAATGTTTCATCAAATTAGGTAGAAAAACAGTTTTGAATGAAAAAAAAAAAGAAATGTCATATGTTGCACAAATTTAGTAAACAATTGCATGCATTTTCCACAGGCAGAGAAGAGTGTAAAACCCTCAAACAGAACCAGTACCCAGTACTATTCATACAGGAACATCGTGTCAAATGTGAATCTAAACTGTTTAGGGAATAGATGGTGAAGATTCCCAGTCATCAAGGTCATAGTCAAATGATAAAAAAAAAATCCCCTGAACTTTGTTTTCAAGTTTGAAGATGTTTCACTTCCCATTCAGGAAGCTTTTTCAATTCAAAAGCTTTTAATGTTTTGAAAAGCTTCCTGGATGGGAAGCAAAATGTCTTTAAACTTGGAAACAAAGTCCAGTGGATTATTGTTTTTGAACTTTTTAAGGAATGATTAGGGAATAGATAAAGATTGTTAACTTTAAATATTTCAAAAGCTTTGACCTCAATTACAATACAAAGAGAAAAACAGATCATAAGCCAAAAAAATGAGAAAGGTAATGAGCACCATACTCATATGTTTGGGACTTAAAAGGTATAATACCTTAGTGAAAAAAAAACAAAAAAAAAACAGTGCCCACTTTTAAAAAAAGAATGTAAAAATTACCTTTTTTGTTGACTGCCAAACAAACATTTTTAAGGTCCACAGCTAAATGTCCAGCTGTGTTTGTTTGTGTTTGTTCCTAAGCCTTTGGGTTAAAAAGAGAGCAACCAAGAACAAGGTAAATCAGGAGAAGGCTGCATGATCTGTGAGCACAAGTATTCAGGTACATCTGTGGAGTTAAATATTCCATGAGAGGCAAACATGAGGCTTGAGATGACAGAGAGGAGCCACAGTGGGAAGAATGAGAGGGCTGATTGAAATGCTGGAGGGCTTGGAACTAAAACAACACTCTGAAGAGAGAAGATGTGTAGGTTGTGGAACTATGAGCTTCTTCAAAAAAGAAAACTTCACAAAAAAAGTCAAAGTGTTGGCATAGAGGAAAACCCATCATCTTACAAGCATGAAAAGAGGTTATCAGAGAAAAACATACAGTCACCAACTTTCCCCACCTTTTACTTTCACACGGTAGGAAAAGTACTCCGAGTTCCTCATTTTTCGGAGTGAGACAAAAAAAAAATTGTATTATTTGATGCTACATGAATGTCTCTTTATTTTATCTCCCTTAGACTCATCTGCAGGAATATTTACAGTACTCTGTACGTTAACCTACATAGTATCCTGGAGTAAACAAAGTAATCTAAAAAGAAAAAGTGGGCAAAATTAAAAAACTCTTGATCAGAAATGAATATCTCCAATATTTTCCGGTCTCTTAACATAGGCGTGCAGTTTTTATCCTTTGGTGAAAAAAGCACAATCAAAAGCCGTGTCTATAAGTTTCTGAGATAATGACTATTCTTCAGGACTCCAAACAACCTGTGGAATTAAAAGAGAAATTTTTGTTTTCATTTACACCTCTTTGCACAGAGGTTTCTTTCGAGCAATAATAAAGTTTGGTTGGATGCTAAGAAGGTTTATAGGAAGGATATGTTCTTTGTGGCACACCACTCCCCTCAAATTGCCAGTTTTTCAGACTGCTGCTGTTGCTCATGGATACCGACTATAACCATGATTATGGCTATTTCCATGAGATGCCATCAATGTAATTGAGGCCATGGCTGTGCTTTAGTTGTAATGACTACTCTGTCATGTCAGGGGCACATTAGTTGTAATGATTGCAACACAGATGACATGCAGAGGTTGTATGTATGCCTGCAAGTTGACATCAAGGGAGCTTTAAAGACTAACTGCAGTGAAGAAACACAAAAAGTACAACAAAAACTAATTATTAACACTAATGCTGGGGGAGATATTATGGTGCCTTGAATTTTTTTTTATACCCCATATTGCCAAGTTACATCCACAAAAGTTAAGCTTTTTATTTCTATTTTATGTAATTTTCCAACATAGGGTAACATGTAACTGGGAAGTTGGGAAAAATGGCATGTGGTTTTTAAACATGTTTACACAAAAATAATTTGTTTTTCAGCCCATTTTAATGACATAGCCTGAACAAAGTCCAAGGCAAACTTCAATGCAATTTTACACATACATAAATAAGCAGTATCATCAAGTCTAAATACACATCAGCTATTGGAGTTTGAAAGACGCTTCCTTTTTAAAACATATAAATATAAAAAATATAACTGCGGATGTCTGGGGGACAGTGATCCGCCTACGTTATGAATGCTGGTGTACCATAAAGAATA